AAGACCCTGAGCTTGTCGATCAGAAAAGTTGGCGGTTCAAATCCCTAGCATCGCGTAACGGAGTGAGCCCCCATGACTTCTCCCAGCTTCTGCCAACCTAGCAGTTCGAAAGCATGTAGAAAATGCAAGTAGAAAAATAGGGACCACTTTGGTGGGAACAGCGTTCTGTGCGCCTTCGGGGGCGTTGAGTCACGCCGGTCACATGACCACTGAGACGTCTTCAGACAGTGCTGGTTCTTCGGCTTTGAAACGGAGATGAGCACTGCCCCCTAGAGTCAGGAAAGACTAGCACATCTGTGCGAGGGGAACCTTTACCTTATTATATAATTATATATACCTGTATTTCCTTACAGGTAGTCCCGTTAGTTTAGTGACCATTCAAAATTATAATGGCACTGAAAAAAGCGACTTATGACCGTTTTTCACAGTTACGTCCGTTCCAGCATCCCCCATGATCATGTGGTCGAAATTTGGATGATTGGCAACTGATACATATTTATGACCGTTCCCATGTTCCTGGGGTCACGTGATCCCTTCTTACGACCTTCTGACAAGCAAGGGGAGCCCGATTTGCTTAACAACCATGTGACTAATTTTACAACTGCAGCAGTACACATTACTGTGGCAAGAAAGAATCATAAAATGTGGCCAAACTCACTTAACAAATGTCTCACTTAACAACATAAATGTGGGGCTTCCTTGTGGTTGTAAGTCAAGAACTAGCCGTGATCGTTCTTACTAGCTTACCAACTGCAGTGATTCACTTAAAAACAGGGGGCAAGAAAAGTCGTACAATGGGGCAGTAGTCACTTAACACGTGTCTCACTTAACGTAAATCTGGGGCTCAGTGGTCATAAGTCGAGGATTATCTGTTTAAGGTAGACAGCACCCAAAAAAAATTGTGCCCTTCATCCTCTAACTATCCAAATTGCATTACATTGCAGTTCTCCCTATTCCACCCCCCTCCCAAAAAAAATTAAAATTAAAAATTAAAAAAAATTAAAGCAAACCCGGAATCATTTCTGACTCTTCACTATTGAATAAGTCTTTGATTCTCCCGGGGATTTTTTTTCCCCTCAACGTTTCAGCAAATCCAAGTGGGTGCCCCTCTAGAACTTTCCTCTGGCCCGAACTCTACTGTCCGTGGGAAACTTTCGCACGTCCTCTCCGCTCCTGATTGGCCAGCGTGGCCGGAAGTAGGTCATCCTGGCTCAGCTCGCAGAGCCAAGTTGCAGAAGAGCGAGGCGGGATTGGTGGATTGCAATGGTGAGGCTCGCTTTTTGCAAGGGGGAAAGGGTCGTTTTCGTTGATTTCGCAAAAGGTTTTTTTTTGTTGCTGTCTTTTGCAAAACAATTGGGAGGGAGGAGAAAGTGAGAAGGCGCAGTGCTTTGTGTTAAAAGTGTGGGGTTTGCTTATTGTTATTGTTATTTTTAATATGGAGTTGCCTGTTTCGATTTGGCTACACTGTCTCCAGTGGTGTTGCCTTCGGAGCGCAAAAACCTTGCAAAAACCCATGCAGGATGGCCAGATTTATTTTTATTTGATGCGTTTTGTTTATTTGCTTTTGCGAAAAGTAACTACCGAGAAATTTGAAAGCCATAAGCTTGTAGAAAAAACACTGTTTGCTCTCCCTTTTAATAAGAAGGAGAAGAAGAAGGGAGGAGGAGGAAGAAGGAGAAGGAGAAGAAGGGGAAGAAGAAGAATTAGTATTTTACAAACTGACTACCTACAACGCCATGATCGNCTGTTTCAGTTTCAGCACAGCCTGATTAGCACAAGCAGCTGATTGTTGATTTGATTGGCCTCCCGGCGATCAGCTGTTTCATGCTGCAGAGATTGGCGAACCTGTGGCACGCAGAGTCATATTTCCTGGCATGGCAGCTTTCAGCTCCGGCATGCTCCAGCTCATTTTTGCCACTCTGGTTTGCCTGTTGGGTCATTTTTCACTCTCCCCAGGCTTCAGGAAACCCACAGGGGGGGGGGGTCCTCACACACGTGCAAGGTGGGTGGCCATGCAATTTTGGCACACCTTTAGAAAAAGGTTAGCCTATTGCCGCATTTGCAAGCCCATTTTCGGCCTCTGCATCCCATTTTTGGCTCGTTCCAGGCGGCGGGGATCAGAATGGGTGGGAAATGGGGCATGTGGAGGCCAAAAATGGGAAGAGCATCCAGAAGCTCCAGTTGGTGCAAAATGCAGTGGCCCCACATGGTTTTGTTCAGATCCCGGTGTGTATTGCCTCTCCTGCGAGAGCTGCATTGGCTGATAATTTGCTTCTGGTTGCAGTTCAAGTGTGCTGGTTGTCCCCTTGAAAGCCCTTCATGGCTTGGGACCAGGAGATCTGAGGGACTGTCTTGCCGGTCACATCTATCTGACCACCAGAGGACAGAGGCAGGGAATGCAGCCTCTTGCGGGTCCCATCCCTGAAGGAGATACACCTGGTGGGACCCAGAAGAAGGGCCTTCTCTGTGGTGGCTCCCTTTCTCTGGAACATCATTTCCCCAGAGATTAGAACGCCCCCCCCTCCCCACTCTCACACCCTTCTAGAAGGCGTTGAAGACCTGGTTCTGCCAGCGGGCTTGGGGAATCCAGAGTGAGATGGAGCCCATTAAGTAGTAGTAGATCTACATTAAGTAGATCATGTGATCTGCTGGTGGCAGGATGGGGGGGGTTAGTTTATTATATTACATTACCTGATTCTTTTATTAGTTTTATTGTTTATTTTTATGTGGTTTTAAATTATGTAAGCCGCCCTGAGTCGCCATGGGCGAATAGGCGGCAATACAAATTTAATTAATTAATCATCCACTTCGATTAATACCTAGTTTCTTGCTCAAAAAGGATTGACAGGCCGAGGACTCAAACATCAGGAGTCCTGTCCTTACACTTGCAAAGCCATATTTCAATTTATCCACAAGGTGCTAAATTAGGGAAGAGGCTACTTCTGAGAATTGTAAGCAAATAGCCCAACTAAGAGGACGTGGTGGCTCAGTGGCTAAGACCCTGAGCTTGTCGATCAGAAAAGTTGGCGGTTCAAATCCCTAGCATCGCGTAACGGAGTGAGCCCCCATGACTTCTCCCAGCTTCTGCCAACCTA